GAGAGGGAAGGAGACAGACAGAGAGAGAGAGAGAGAGAGAGAGAGAGAGAGAGGCGTTGGTGGAAATCTGGCATGGATAGGCTTCAGTGTGAATACAATATATTTATATATATATATGTAAAGATGGTAAAATATGGAGGAAAGACAATGTTAGACAAGAAAAAACTCATTTACATTTAAATCAAATGCAGCACTCTGATTCATAACATATGATCTCAGGCTATATACTGCAGATTTAGACCTACACTAGCCTATGTGTTTCTTTTATTTGTCAAATTCCAACATGGCTTGACCATAATTAAGTACAGTGTCTGCCAGTATTGTTGTAGCCTACACAGTTTGTCTACAATGTTTATAGCCTAAACTTTAACAATATAATAATTAATGATATGAATGATTCTTTCTCATTTGTAATCATTTGTATTGTTCTAATTGTAAACAGGGCTTTCATTGTCACACTAACGCAAGAGGTACAATGAAATGGCACTGACATTGATTTCGAGAGGGATCAGTACAGTATCATGTGATAGGCTGTGTGATGCGTTCAAGTCACATCTGTAATTGTCCCACGGGAAGAACTACATAAATGTAAACAATAAAAAAAACACACACAATACAAACACAATTTAACGACAGGACTTCAATGGTGGAGCATGAAGTGTTGAGTAGGAGAATGAATGAATCACCCTGAATGAATCACACTTACAGCACTCTACCACTAGATGACTCTCCTAAACTTTTTTTTTTTTTTTCTCTCCCTCTCTTCATTTTAAGGGCATTTTGTTACGACAGTGTGGCGCGTTTACGGCCTCTCGTTATAATTGCCGTGTTAGAGGTAAACAAGCAAACTCTGCGAGGCTTTCTGCTCCCAAAGTGGGAAAACCACAAAGTGAGGTAGGTCCAGCAAGGTTACTAAGGGTAGTTAGTTAGTTAAGGGGAAGGTAAATGCTGTTTTGGGTGGGCATTACCCGTAAATACACGTGTTTGGATGTGCACGTTAGTTCCTGCGTGACAGAGAGCACGACAACATTTCATCCTCCGCTAACTTAACTCACGACGTTACACTCCATTTTAGGAGACTGTAAAGGACTTAAAGTCAACCACTTTACTGTACTCTCAAGATATGTATATATATATTAATACTTTTTAAGTGTCTGGTTGGTTACCTTGGAAGAAAACTGTTTAAAGTCCAAGAAGAACTACAAACAGCCATAGCAGTGAGTACAACTTAGCTGTAACTCGTGGAAGTATGCAGACTTTCTAGTTCCAGCTCTTTGACTCTAACTTGTAGTGAATCGCGGTCTTTATCTACATTAAGCTGTGCAGCCTGTAAAACCTGTTTCGACACGTTCGGCTTTAAGTTTGTTCAGGCTTGCAGGGCTCACCCAATTGCCTGTTTTTTATTGATAATTGTATTTAAGTAGTCCCATTTAAACCCCGATTCTTACTTTTACTTCCAACCTTTTCGTTTTAAAGTGTGTTTTATGGACATTCCTTGTCCTACCAGTGTCACTAAGCAGGCTTCCTCAGTTTTGTTGCAATTGCAGGCTTCATTTAAAACGAGAGTTACCACTGCTGTGATTGCACAACCCCATTAAGTTACATGCATTCCTCTTGCCCTATCTTGTGTTTATTTTGAAGGAATGTTAAAGGAGGGCATATTTATACAGTTGCACATACACAGGCTCGTTTCTATTGAATTTTCTATGCAGAAACACCCTAAGGTGTCACTTTTTACATTCTGTATAAAAGCTTTACATATAGACTGCATTTTCCTACATTTCACTGCAGTGAAATAAATGAAACAAAACAGCATGATTTTGATGCGCTGTTGCACCAAATGCACAATTTGCATAATTTTGTAAACATGCTCTATATGTAGCATGACATATTTGGTGTCTTTTTGGACTGTTCCTGTTAAGGATTTAAGACCACGGCTCCCTGGAAGAAGAGATCTTGTATCTCAATGGGACCTTCCTGACTAAATGAAGGATACATTTAAAAAAAAATTGTAAAGTTCTGTGGGTTTGAACGATGCTTGGCTGCACAGCATGAGTTTGTAAAGACAAGCTGCGTTTGACTCCAGTAGAGTTGAGGTTTGAGGTTGATTTGTCATCTTCATATTAAGTACAGAAAAGTCATAATGCATGTTGTATAAGGTGAGTAAATCTGCACCACATACTGTATTGGTGAGAATACAGATCAGAGTTAAAAGTGGGACTAATTTCTGCTCTTTTTGTGTTCTCTGTCTTGTTCCTCGTGTAATAGTGACGATGCTGCTCCAAAATCGAGCTGTGCTTGCCCTCGGTCTCCGCATGTACTCCACTAATGTGACGAGAGGGCCTTTGGTGGACACAGCAAGACCAAACTCAGGTAAAATGAAAGGTATTCGGTTTATATAAAGTTGGTTTTGCTGCTGTGTCAGCTCAGTACTGATCCCCCCCTTGTCCTTTCTGACAAGCACGATAATAAAAATGATTCAGCGAAATGAAATGTTTTTAGTAACACTTCACAGCAAGGTTCAGACATATCGTAGCATCTAGAAAATTAGTTAAAAATCAATCAACTGCCAGTTAATGGCAAACAAACATGTAGTTTCTGGATAACTAAATCAAGAACCATGTAGTTGATAATTATACGTTATTATTGATTCAATAATATATTCTATGTTAATGAACTAGTGTCTAATAATTACTTATCTGCTACTTTGCATACTGACAATTGTTCCTGACTCCACTAATGTACAACAGGGGCACCAAAAATACTATAATACACGACTCAAATGTTGTAATACTACAAATGTATTAATTAATCATATGCTGCGGCATCCAGAGTTCTACCCAGACATAGCATTAGTTGACATTTTGTTTGAATTTCAGGACGAAGGTGCTTCAGAACAAAAACACTGCTAACTCAAACTGACATTTGCTTGATAGTAATTGCTAAGGTATAGAATGTTTTTCTTCTTTTTTTTTCTTTTCCCAGACATGTCTGAATTCCGTAAAGTCTTTTCTAAAGCCAAGCACATAGCAATCATCACAGGGGCAGGTGTGAGTTCAGAGAGCGGAGTACCAACCTTCAGGGGAGAAAATGAGAAGTGGAGGAAGTGGCAATCTCAGGTAAGTTCTTAAAAAGCGAAGCACACGCAGGATGCGCGTGGCGGTTTTATTTATTTATTTTTGTCTTTTTATTTAGGTCAAAGTTTTGTGTGTGCTCTGGTCTCCAGCTGTGGTTTAGAGTTGTTGCTGTGGAGTGGGTGTATTTTATGTTTACATAATACATCTCCACAGCTCAGTGGCCTTAACTCAGGAGCAACAGCCAGTAAAGAGAGAGATGATGTTTGTTGCGTAATATTGATTCTTGTCGTGGGCTGCTGAAAGATTTACCTCCAGGAAAGAATCAAAAATGGTCTTTTGTACAAAAAAATATAATGTCCCTCCCTAATTGAGGTATTTAAACTGAATCTGTGCCTCTGAATACCACACTAACTCCTTAGCACTTGAGTTTTGTCCTAAAACAGCATTATGTTGATGCAGGACCTGGCGACACCCGAGGCCTTCTCTCGCAACCCGTCTCGTGTCTGGGAGTTCTACCATTACAGAAGGGAGCAGGCTTTGAGCAAGAGGCCCAATGCCGCCCATCTGGCCATAGCAGAGTGTGAGGCCCGGCTGAGGAAGCAGGGACGCTCCGTGGTTGTCATCACCCAGTGCATAGACGACCTCCACCGACAGGCCGGGTCCAAACATGTGCTCAAGGTTCATGGTGAGAGCCAGAGTTGGGCCAGACTACCAGACATTAGACTTAAATAGTGACATTTCACTGGATAATAAGTGTGGAATGATTGGATTGAAAAAGTATTTCTGTTGCAGTGAATTCTGCATTTAAAGGAGCGAACTGACGTGTGTTTCTTGAGGTTCTTAATTTGAACAAGTTGCCATCCAGAGAAATGCAGCGGATTCATTTCCCTATGGGGATGAATCAAATAAAACTTGAATATTAAGTAAATTATAATTGAAATCCTGTTCCATATTCAGTGATGACTGAAAACCATGACAGCGTAGTATGTCCCATGGTTTTACTGGGATATGGAAACATTTTATGAGTCAGTTGTTTTTCAAACAAACACCCCATGAGCCCACAGTTAGTCACTAGTTTAATGTCTGTGGACCAACAACAAGTTCTTGTTATGACATCATTTCAAGTGTTAATTCTCTCATTACCATCTCAAGGAGGCTGTTTTGTATGTTTTCGTACAGTTTCAGGGAGTAAAAACAGCGCTAAAGCCTTTTATTTGATTTCTTTCCCGAAATCTTGCTTTAATGTATGAGTCAGGGCACAAAAAACAAAAAAAGGATCAACAAATCAACAAATTCTGCGGAGAGGGAGATGTTTTCTGTGACTCCAGCGGGCCTAAATGACAAACAGCTGTGTTTTCTGTGTTTAACTGCAGGCAGTCTGATGGAGACTCGCTGTGTGAGCTGTGGAGAAGTGACTGTAAACAAGAGAAGCCCCATATGTGCTGCCCTAAAGGACAAAGGGTAAAAGGCAGCACCTCTGGAGTATACACACACTGATAAACATGCAGGACCTGTAGCCCGATCTCTTCAATTTAAACCACTAATGTGCTATTTAACCTACTGTGTTTGTTCTGTTATTATACAGTGCCCCTGACCCAGATGTTGCTGATGCCCAGATTCCTGTGGATAAATTGCCAAGGTGGGATTACTGTCGGTTCATGTTAATAACACAGAGGGTTAGATTTACTTAGCCTTTTATAGTGGTTTTCTGATGGATACTGCGCCTGTAGTTTCCCTTTATTAAACAGGTGCACAGTCTTTCTGTCAACTTAGGTGCATTCTGCATTGCAGCAGTGAATGTGCTTCTCTCCTCTACTTGTATAAGCATTTGAGGAAGGAGTGTGCAAATACTATGGGAATTTGCTTAATTTTGCCAATGCCAGTTTTACGTGAAAAAATCTCTCTGCACTATACAGAGCAGGTGCAAGTATGTTAGGAGGCAACTTTGTGGTGGGAGAAAAAACATAAATGAAACTGCATTGTACAAAAATCTTCATAGCAGCAGACAAGGAGTGATATAATGAACAAATAAAATATCTGAATATCTTATAAGGCCGAAGGTAAAAAGCTGATGGAGTTGGTTTGTGCTCATTACACATTAACTTAATGTTAATGAGTGGTAGAATGTCTGTATATAGCACTCTTTAGGTAAGAGCTTTAGGTACAGTTTTTTCAACGTGCTTCAAGAGACACTAGTTGTATTAACCACCGTCTCCACCCTCCACCTGCTCAGCTTTGAGCTTCTGGTTGGAACCTGCTGCTACTTCTGCTCAGCGCGCCTTCTCTTGTTCCCAACCTCACCCTCACCAGCCTGTTTGCAGTGCTTTTTTAAATATTGTGTATATAATAACATAATATATATATATATATATTATATAAAAATACTATATATAATTATATATAGATATAGATATCATAGTATATATATATATATATATATATATAGATATAATATACTATAATAATATATATATAATAATAAGAAAGTCCCAACCTTATAGGCCATATAACTCCCAGATAATATTACTAACCTGTATTATAACCCATATATATTGATACCCTAGTCCCCGTTATTATCATTATAATAAATAATAATCCCACGGGTGTATAATATCCTGCCTCACCAAAACTTATCGCTGTTTATATTATATGTTGGGCCTTATACTAGGGTGATCTCACGATGTGATCAGGTTAGAAAACCTTGGTGAGTGAAAGGGGAAATTCAATATATAGAAATAAAATTAATAATAGAAAATTATTAGTATAGCTTCAAACTTCATTTATATAGTCTTGTAAAAAACCACATAATATAGATATAAACGGTAAATAAAAAGGGTATACCCCCCTATAATATCTCCCATTAACGAACCGAAATAAATAATATTATATGGTTTAATTTATATATAAATAAAATATATAAAATATATAAATATAAAATATTATGGTTATATAGAATATATAGGATACACCCACCCTGGATAAATCTAAATAATAATATAACTATTCCAGAATATATAAAAAAAAAAAAGCAGGTCAAACTTGTTAATCTATTTCAATAAGTATAAGGGTTGATTAATTATGTATTTAATTAATAAGAGAGCGGTTCATTATAATTTAACCCTTGACCGGCTGACAATACTGTGGACTGTTAAGTTATTAATACTGCCTTATATGTTGAAACATAATAATTATGATAATTTAGGGATATTATATTCATGGAGTCCCCTCCTCTACCTCTAATAGATAGTAATGAATATAATAGAGCCTTAGGGGTCAAAAAAATATCAATATGATATACAATATTATAAATGAAAATATATGTTATGTGATAGATGAGTTTATAGTATTATAGTTTATAGTAATTTCATTTATTGTCACAATTATGACATTTGCAGTTTAGATATCA